ATATAAATATATAAATATAGATATATACATATAGATATACATGCATATATATATATATACATATACATATACATATAATATAATACATATATATATATATGCATGTTCTTTATGCTGTACACACGTGGTCAGCAAGGATTAGCTCTTGGCTAGATCAGTATCAAGGCTTGATTGAATATGCACTGGCACGGCATATTAGATATGCATATATAAATATATATATACACACACACATATATATATATATATGTATGTCTTTATGCCGTACACATGTGTTCAGCAAGGATTAGCTCTTGGCTAGATCGGTTCCGAGGCTTGATTGAATATGCACTGGCGCGGCATGTATCTACAGGTGGCTACATGGTAGAGTACAACTGCGCATATACCTATCCACGGATTACAGTTTAGTTTTCCCGAGGATTGGATGCATAGGTATGCACAACGCATACCTACTGACTACATATATGCATGTATCCGAATACATATGCGGGTATCGGATGGCGGTGAGATGGCGATATATGATACGTTGTTCAACAGGACATCTTACACACTCAAATATAAACGTATCCCTACGTCTGCGCATGTATATGCATGGAAGTGAGACGGTGGGTGTGACACGAATAACGAGGCTGGTTCTCACACCCCAACGGGCACAGAACTCCCTCTATTAGGCCATGCACGACATGCACATACAGACACTTCACGAAAAGAACTAAAACCTGAGCGTGATAAAGAGATCAAGACACGACATTACAGAGGAGAGGACCTACGGACACAGCCGGCATATAAAAACCCTAAAACCCTAAAGACATCCCGTCCACTTCCTGCACTAGGAAGTACAACGGACAAAAGCATGTGTCTGTGTATATATGGACGTGCATATTCTGTTGATAATTTTATATGAAAGTATACGGATATCTTGTTTGAGACGATCGCTTATATATCTACATACATAGACGTGTGCATCTCCTTGAAATACCGGCAAAGTCACAAAGTCACAAACACAAACTTAAATATGTACTTGCAAGTGTGTATCCTGTATACACAATCCTATAGGAATAGCAAGACATCTCGTAGAGACAATCTCATGTATATATGTTCATACATGAATGTGTATATCCTCTTGAGCTATATATAGACATTTTGTTGATAAATTCATAAATGTTTCTACATAGATGTATATATCCGCTCACGACATATATAGACATCATGTTGAGACAATCATATATATGTGACTATACATAGATGTGTATATCCACTTGAAACATCTATATGCATATACATGGACATCATATTAAACATTCATGTATACGTGCTTATACATAGGTGTGCGTCTCCGCTCATGATACCTGCAAAGTCCCAGGCTCTTCTTCGCAAATCGGATAGCGTCTTTGGGCTTCCCTGCGGCCAAACGCTTCCTGGCGATTGTGAGAGCCTTCTCAGCATCGTCTCTGCATACATGGCAATAACATGGGCAACAAACCTATTAGGAACTACGTCCACAGCCGATATATCAATAAGGTCAGTCGATCTTAATGTCTATTCTTCACTTGACAATAAAATCCTCTTTCATCCGCTCAGGGACATTTATACGATTCGAACCACAGAACAGAGGAACAGTCTCTGGACTAACTGTTATGATCTAGATATCAAAATCGAAGGCCTGGTACCACCACAATGCATTACTCCCCCACAAATAGATGGAAATATGACCAATTAGGGTCTCCAAGCACAGCTGATATATAAATTATATATAAGGACATAAGAATCGAAGGACACCACAATGAAATATTCACTCACCAATAGATGGAAACTTATACCACACGTGACAGATATCTGCAGCCCGTCCCGAGCGTTTTCCCAGTATTGTTTTAATAGAAAAGCGAACATGGTACAAAAACACTTGCAGGCAGTTTTTTCACAGGCGAATATAAACATACACACACACACGCAACAGATGTCTGCAACCAATCACCGGTACATCTCCGGTGTCGTTTGGCCAAGAGGGTGTTATACGTGCGACGACGCTGGCATGCAGTCATCACCCAAGCGATAAGACTTCGCACACGATGTATACCTAACCTATATACCTAAAATTTATCCATTTATGCCTACACACTTACTATATACCCCATCCACGCACTCTTGTACCAGACAATGGCACACACTTGTTAGCTGACATGTAGTTGTTAGTGTCATACACTCCTAACATACACGTACACCATACCCACTTACTATATACCCCATCCACACACCCCTGTACCATAGAACGGCACACACCTGTTAGCCGAGCTGTAGTTGTTAGTGGCATACACTCCTAACATACACGTTCACCATACCCACTTACCACATACCCCATCCACATACCCTTGGACTATAGAAAGGCACACACCTGTTAGCTGAGTCGTAGTTGTTAGTGGCATACACTCCTAACATACACGTTCACCATACCCACTTACCATATACCCCATCCACACACCCTTGTACCATAGAACGGCACACACCTGTTAGCTGAGTTGTAGTTGTTAGTGTCTGGTCGCCCGGGGGTGTTGGTGTGCTGTGCGGTCTCAGCCCTTTGCAGCAGCTCGCGTGCAGCTACTGTGGTGTATGTAGTTATACTCTCCCTGTGGTGTGCAATATATAGAGGCTAAGGTGAACGTAGATACATTGAGTGTACGATGTATGTAGTTATACTCTCCCTGTGATGTGCAGGATACAGAGGCTAAGGTGAACGCATATACATTGAGTGTGCGGTGTGTGTGAATATACTCTCCCTGTGGTGTGCAAGATATAGAGGCTAAGGTGAACGCAGATACATTGAGTGTACGGTGTATGGTAGTAATACTCTCCCTGTGGTGTGCATGATATAGGGGCTCAGGTGAACGCAGATACATAAGAGTGTGCGATGTATGTAGTTATACTCTCCCTGTGGTGTGCAAGATATAGAGGCTAAGGTGAACGCAGATACATTGAGTGTACGATGTATGTAGTTATACTCTCCCTGTGGTTTGTATATATAGAGGCTAAGGTGAACGCAGATACATTGAGTGTACGATGTATGTGAATATACTCTCCCTGTGATGTGCAAGATATAGAGGCTAAGGTGAACGCAGATACATTGAGTGCACGGTGTATGCGTGTATACCCTCCCTGTGATGTGCAAGATATAGAAGTTAAAGCTAATATATTGAGTGTATGGTGTCTGTGGACATCCTCACCCTGTGATGTGCCAGATATAGAAGTTAAGGTGAACGCTAAAAGCATTGAGTGTTCGGTGCCTGTGGACAAACGCTCTTCCAGCCAGTAGGATTGGATTTGAGAATGCACATGTCCGCACAATCGGCCATGGGCTATGAGATATTCCTCTGATATATATATATATATATATATATATATATATATATATATTCATATGATATATATATATATATTCCTATGATATATATATATTCCTGTGATATATATATATTCCTATGATATATATATATATATATATATATGTATTCCTATGATATATATATATTCCTATGATATATATAAATTCCTATGATATATATATATACTCCTATGATATATCGATTTATACTCTCCGTGTGCGGTACAGCATATGATAATCCAGGCAAAAGTGGATACAGTGCGGGTACAGTGTACTTTGAATACTCTTACTGCTCAGCACAAAGCAATATCCCAAGCACACACGCCATGAACACAAACGCACCTATACACACGGGTTTGAACGCTCTGTCTCACTCACTCAAATATGAGCACAAAGAACATTGTATCTTGACTTCATAAGCGATTTGTAACCGTGTACAAACTCAGCTATATACATGTGCATACCTGCACGCACTCATACATCGACACAGGAAACCGTGTCAGCTTCACAAGCAGATAGCAAGCTAGTAAACCTCACCTAGCAAGTCGAATGGCTTCAGGGTAGTCGCCCTTTTCTAAAGCTGTTGACGCCTCTTTCGCCTTCTCCGCCGCAGTCTCCATCCATCGGATCTGTGCACAATATATTGGTAAGGGTTTAGGGTTTATATATATATATATATATATATGTATTTATATATATATATATATATATATATATATATATATATATATATATAT